AATACAGTATATAATTTTTATATTTTATATTTATTAAAAACACATTTATTTTATATAAAACCGCTTTTTAAATAATCGAGGTAACATAAAACACCCGAAATGAAACGAGGCACATCCGCCCGATCCGTTCAAGTCTCATCGATTGGATTAACCGATATGCGCACTTGTTCTAAATCAATTCGTACTGAACATTGAGCATTGAACATTGGAGCACATGAATATAACTGGGCCAACCGCTATCTTATATGTGATCCAAGTGCTCTCTGGATTAATTTGGAGCATATGACGCGACAAACTTATATACTAACATAAAAAATGAATGCTTAAGATGGCTGTCATGATATACATCTGTCCGCGGATTTAGCTACTCCCACTATTATATTCTCACTATATATTCTCTCCTGTTTCTCTTTACTCTTTGAGTATACATTAGTATGCATACGATAAAGTATAATCTCCAAAATAAAATTCTCCAATATAAAATTCTCATTATTACTGATAATGCTAATCGAAAGATTGTTCCGAATCGAGTGATTGTTGTTTAATTTCGAGCTGGATTATGTAAAGTTTCCCTTAAGAATGAATACACAAAAAATGAACAAATTCACGTGAATGTATAATGAATGTATAATGAATAAGCAATTAAGTAACTTTTGGCTGTTATAAAATAGTTCACGGAAAATTTTTCGGCAAGCAATGAAATATCTAAAATGTGAAATTCTAGCTATTTTTTTTAATAAATTGATATAAACTAGCTTGTCTTTCGATCTTTTGGTCTGTTCCTGTATTAGACTGCACTAGAACTCTCTCGCTTTCGACAAATATCAAACATATTTGAATATCTATTTGAAATATATATTTGAAATGGATATTGCGTGGTTTCTCACCGTAAATGGTAAATATGATTTCCTATCAAAATACGTATATACGTACATACATACTTGTATGTACGTATATCCGTGTGTATATCCGTGAATACTTGTTAAATTTTCGTAAATTTAAGAGAAACGATGTAAAGCTCACTTCGAACTCACTTTCTCGTAACTTTCTTACATCTCATTTCATTTTCTCATAATTTTTTTACATAATCACTAAGTCTGATATCGTTTGAAATTTTTCACGTGAGATTGATATGAAAAGTGAAAAAATGAAAATTTCGTGAAAATTTATACAATCGATACCCTGAAGTTGTTACATGCCCAGCAATGCACTATGATATTCTTTACAATATTTATTAATAATGAACTATTTTGTTGCTCAAGATCTTTTTCTTGTCAAAATTGTTGTACAAACGTCAAAAAAATGGATGCTTAAGAGATGGCTGCATGATGTACATCCGTCCGCAGATTTAGCTATCCCCACTATTGACCTAGTTTCCACCGAGGGAAGTTTAATCCGGATAAAGGGATTGATTCTGTATCTTGAAATGAGATGAAAATTATAAAAATTAGCAAACTTATTAGAATACTGATTATTTCATTGGTCAACACCTAGTAAATTTATTCGCTTTTGTAATTTTCATCTTAGGTTTGTTCGCGTCGCACTCACTCTAATGAGGGTATTGGAGTAAGTAAGAGCTATGATAGGAGCATATTGGAACATGCAACGCGATCAAATCTTGTTTAAAGATATAAAATCGACTCGAAAATTTTCTCCATTAATTTCAATGGTAAAATTTTTACTTTTCACTTTCTATCTTAGGAATAAAGTTTCATGATTGATACCCAGGATAGCTTATGTAAAGTCTCCCCTAGGAATGAATACACAAAAAGTGACCAAATTCACGT